GCAGCTGGAGGCCCAAAGGATATGCCAGCAGGCAACAGGCCATCGGGCACACAGCCGCTGCTGGAGGTATCCATCAGAGAAGCGGAGGCTCAGCCTTTTGAAGTCTTAATGCAGTTTCTCTACACAGACAAGATCCAGTACCCTCGCAGAGGTACCACTCTGCTCATGCTTCTCACGCTTGGTTGTTACCAGTCTTGCTGCAAAAGAGAGAGAAAATGTTTATTCTTGTGTGTATCTGTCTACACAGGTCATGTGCAGGATGTTCTCCTGATTATGGATGTGTACAAACTGGCCCTTAGCTTTAAGCTTTCCCGGCTGGAGCAGCTCTGTGTGCAGTACATTGAAGCATCAGTCGACCTGCAGAATGTTCTCAGTGTCTGTGAAAATGCCAACAAACTGCAGCTCGACCAGCTCAAGGTACGTCCAGATTAAATGTTAACAGCTGAAAAACGTCTTATACTGACCTCTAGTGGTTAAAGTTTCTAAATTTCACTGATTTTCAAACTGTTGGGCTGGAACATGGACGACCATGGTAAAAAGATGGAGTGAGGCCAAGTGAAATGAATATGACTTTAGTCTGGAAAATAAACAAACAAGAGTTTACGGATGCTGTCCTGCTAACATGGCTGTAGCTCAGGTGGCAGAGCAGGTCAGCCACTAATCAGAAGGTCGGTGGTTCGATCCCAGGCTGCCTCCTGGCTGCATGTCAAACATCCTTGGGCAAGACACTAACCCCATGTTTGCCTACTGGTGGTGGTCAGAGGCCCCGGTGGCGCCAGTGTCCGGCAGCCTTGCCTCTGTCAGTGCGCCCCAGGGCAGCTGTGGCTACAATGTAGCTTGCCATCACCAATGGGTGAATGACTGAATGCAGTCCTTAGGGACTAAGTAAAGTGCTATACAAATGCAGGCCATTTGCCATTTGTGAGCAAGCACTTGGCAACAGTGGGAAGGAAAAACTCCCTTTTAACCTCAGGCAGTACCAGGCTCTGGCAGGGGCCGCCATCTACCGTGACCAGTTGAGGGTGAAGGAAGGAAAACAAGACAGAAGACACACTGTGGAAGCGAGCCAGTGATGAATAATAACTAAAATGTTTCTTATTTCCTCCTGACTTTCCCATCTTACTCTTGTTTTTATTTTTTAAGTGGATTTCCTGAAAAGTCCACCATTTCTATGATCCGAGATGTGAGCCTGATCTCACAGGTTAGGCTTCGGTAAATGAACACTCACACGATTTATTATTCTTTGGTTCACAAAGTGGACCAGCTCTATCAAGTTATCTATCACTGTACTATGAAATTAACAGCATTAACCCTTCAATACCTGTAAGAAAAAACTCAATGTCCTTCACATGATCCAAAGTGGGGCCTTCGAACAGTCCGGCACCTGGAACTGTTTGTGTGCTTAATAATATATTGCTGAGCTTCTCTAAGTTACAGTAGCTTGTGTTAGTTTGTGTACACAAAGACATAAATGTTCAATGATAAAAACACACAGTAGAATAAAATTGTAAGAAGTCATCAGTTGATGCAGTTTAAGGACACTTGTTCTTCTGTGCAGTCTCACCTGGAGCTCACGTTTCTAGTTCATGCCATCATGACCAAAGATTCTTAAATTAATAGTTTAAAGATGTCCATGAATGCACTGCTAACTGCTCTTCAACCTTATATAGATCAACATGCATTTTGAGTAAGAAACACTTTTACAAAACCAAACGCTTCACTGTGCTTAGTGATTTATATGTTTAAAAAAACAGGTTCAGTTTGTAACTGAGAGAGAGAGCTCGGTGGTGCTGAATTATATTTCCAATAGAAACACAATTTCATATGTTGTAGTGACAACAGACTGCCACAAGATGGCAACCTAGGCCTACTTTACCATGCTGTTACAGTAAAAAAAGAAAAAGTGACAGAGCCTTGAAAGAGTGACAGAGACACTTTTTATGAACTCATCTGTAACGTGTCACCTTTTCTGTAGAATGAAGAAGTGCTTCCCTTCTTTTTAAGTAAATACAGGCTTACAAAGATCCTCTAAACATGTTTCTGAAATAATCCTAAACACAATCATTAAATCAGAAATGCAAGAAGCAATTTATTTAATCAATGTTCTTAACTTAATTCCTTAACTTATTAAAAAAAATAAACAAAAACTTTTCTGCTGTCTCACCTCTGTCAGTGTTCATGCTGTTGCAAGAACAGGTGGAGGTGCAGGTAGGACTTTGACTTCACTGTGGTTTGTATGTGCAGGCAGGAGTGTGACATCCCAGAACAGCAGAGGATTGT